CCTGAAAAAAGGCTAATACTGAGCTGGGGACTATTTTCAGGCGCTGCGTCATATCTTTACGCCTGCTGCACTCATGGTATGGCTGTAAAGTAAATTTACATTTTCCGTCCAGTCTTAGTGCACGATGTAACTACAGAGTCAAGTTATAAACAGGAAAAGCCGCCATTGTAGCAGAACTTCACCTGCTGTTAGCATTCCATTGACTCCCATTCATTTTGGCTTCAGTTGGCTTCAATAAATTTACATCTGAGGCATCCAATGACTCCTTTTGTCCATTATTTATTTCTAAATAAACACGACAATGTATAAAAGCCTCCGTTACCTTGTATCTTATGTTATAGCCCCATAGAAGCAGTTAAAAAAAAAAAATGTCTAACGTTTGTGTCATAACGCATCGACACCCAGTTTGCGCGTCTAAATTGCAAAGTTCATTGTAAAGTTTTTTTTTGTTGTTGTTGTTGTTGTTTTTTTAAGATTTTGTTTACTGTGTGGAAAGCACATTCACTTCTAGTTGTCTTGCTGTTAATTTAAAATAAACATACAGTAAGTAGCTAACCAGTGTCTGCTCATTTATTTAAGTTGTTCTGTAACAGATGAACGTCGCTCTGCATATGTCATCTCCTTCATCACTCTGATTGGTTTTAGGTCTATCCAATTGCACCCAGAGGCATTTGAGCTACGTCCGTTGGTGACGCCCCTTTGGAAATGATTTGTCTATGAAGCTTATGAAACTCAGTTACAACTGAGAATAGTGTGGTTTTAACCAGTGTAAGACGTGGCAAATTTAATTCAAATTCCAACTCATTAACTAAGCAGGAGTTAATTATTCAATTCTGAAATTTGCCCAACACTATCAAACCGTGCAGCATTAAAGCCATGGTCACACTAGACTTTGAGCATGCACAATTTCTACTCCACTTTACAGTAATTCTGCAATCCTGCATATTTGAAGAGTGTGCTCTTTTAATTCAGCTAAAAGGTCACGCTGTTCTATTGGTCACATGTCTTCAAGTGATACAAAATAATCGCATGTCAGGGTTCACCATACTTGAATTTTGGAAAGCAGTGAAATCCGAGCTTGAGTTTGTGTTCCAACCCGGTCTCATCCCAAATCGTCATATAACTGACGTTTTGGGACGTCTTTTGACCGTACGTCAATATTCGCCTTTTTAGGGCCCCCTTAAACGTCGGTAGATGAGGTTATGGGATCCTAACTCTACCCCATACCTAAACTTAACCCTAAACCTAACCCGTCACCTAACTGACGTTAAAGGTAAAGCGTCAGTTGTATGACGGCCCGGGATCGCCATCTACCGACGTTTAAGGGGGCCCTAAAAAGGCGGATATTGACGTATGGTCAAAATACGTCCCAAAACGTCAGTTATATGACGATTTGGGATGAGACTGTGTTATGTGTTCTGTAGTATAAATATGAATGGAAGTCGATGGAATGCAACATGTAGTGTGACCGCTCCTTTACCCGGCCATATCCAACAGTCAAGTCCAGTGGAAAATCTGAGAAAATCCACCAAACTTTCAGTATTTCTTTGCTGCCTGTTACTAATACAGGGGAAATGTGCATGTTTGTTCTTTTCTCTGTTTTCCTTTGCACAGAAAAGCTGTGATGTGCTGTAGTCCATGAAAAGAAAGTGAGGGAGAGAATATATACTTCTGCTGGCTTTAGGGATGGTTGCTTCTGCTCTGATCTTACAGCTAGTTTGTGTCAGGTAGCTCTTTTTATACATACAAAAAAAAAAAAAAAAAAAACATAAACACTCTGCCTTGCATACCCTGGAGTGAAAAAAATCCTTGACAAGCAAAGAGGATTCACTGAAAACACTAGAAAACACAGGGGGCTCCAGAAATCCCCGTGGCTGCATTGAGATAGAGCAGTAATTGATGGAGGTCCCAGCCCCAGAATGCAACCTGCTGTCTTCTGAAACGTGATGGTGAAACTGAGCTTCTACTGAGGAAAAAAAAAAAAAAAAAAAAAAAAAAAACATAGGTCTAGGATTGTTGTAATGTTCTGTGTAATTGTGAATGAATTTTCTGATGTACCATGCACATGAAACAACTAAATCAGGGGCTTAAACTGTCAATCCAAATCGTTTATGTCCACATTTTTTTAAGTCTCTTATGCTCAACAAGTCTGCATTTATTTGACCAAGATACAGTAAAAACAGTAGACTAACATTGAAAAATATTACAGTTTAAAAGAACAGTTTTCTATTTTTATTTATTTATTTATTTGATATCAAAACTGAATTTTCATCAGCTATTACTCCAGTCTTCAGTGTCGCACAAATCTTCCGATATCATTCCAATATGTCAATGTTGAAGACAGTCATGGACACTTCATAAAATACCTCAATATATTTACAGTCACTTTAGATGAATTTAATGTGTCTTTGCTAAATAAAATCTTAGTTAAAAGTATAATATCTTACTAAAAGCAAACTGATTTATTGCACTGAATTATCATCGCCTTCTCTCAGACACAAGCTTGACCTTGGGTTGGTGGACCACTAGCTAAACTAGTACCAAACTACCACTAACCAATCAGGACCAATGTGGAAAATGATGTATACATAATCACAAAAGGCTTTCAAAACAGGCAACTGTACCTTTTGGGAGGTTGGTGTAACACTTTTGGTCTCGTTGAGTCTAAAATGGGGTCTAATAGGTCTTATGGGATCTAAGTACTACTTTTTTTTTCAAAAAACAAAGGCAAGGTACAAGAGTCTATAGCTTGGAACCCTCTAAAATCCCAGAAAACATGCACATCAATTGACAAGAACTGACAAATAAAAATGTTAAATAAGAAAGCTTAAATATACAAGGAACTGATTAACTGAAAGAAAATGCCATGAAACAAACAAAAGGCAAGAAACCTGGCACAAAACAAAAGAGCTTCAGTTGCTATCAGGGTGGGCAGTAACGAACACCAAATGTTAGAGTTCATCCAATTTAATCTCAGCATATAGAACACTCTAAGAAAAAAAAATAATTAAAAGAAATCTAGTCCCAAAAGCCCGTTGGTGTGTCAATAAATGCCATCAAGGTAATAAATGAAAAGCAATTGTAATGTATGCTTACTAGCAACTTACTAACAATGAGGAAATTGTCAAGTGTTTTTCTTATTCAAATGTGTTCTTTCATGTAAATGAGCATATGACAAATTGCATATTAAGGATTGGAGGCCAAAGCTGTAGGAGTTTAGCCTGGGTTTCCCCATACTGCCTTGCCCCACCATGATTTTTTATTTTTTTTTAGGTAGTACGGATACCATGGACCAAATTTTCGCCTCATCTAGGGAACCAATCACAGAACGGGGAGGGAGCAGCAAGACGATGACGACGTCTATGTGACACACTGAAGCAGTTTGTATATAGACCTTATGCACCAGAGAAACGTGGGTGCCGTCATCTTTAGAATATTGTCTTTGAACTTCCGGTTTCACGGTCGCTCTGTATATTTCTATGGCATCGCTGTCCAGGAGTAATTAGCTGGTGAAGTGGATTTACTTATTGTAGAGTTAACAAAAGTTATCATGAGCATTGTAATGTTTATCATAAGCATTTTAAAGCAGATGTCTTAACAAATGTCGACCGGGAAATTATTTATGAGCAGTTCATTCATACCTATGCAAGATCACTGTGGAAATGCAGACCGGAAGTCAAAAGACAACGAGCGCAGCACTGAAAAGGGGCGTGGCTACATAAGGTCTATAGCCTATCTATGGATCCAACATGGAAGCAGACACGAAGTTACCTTTCGATGCAGCCTTACGGCCGTTTCACACCGCAAGCGTGAACGGCACTTGAGCAGCGCATCAGTGTAACTACATCATCACTGCAGCTGTAGACGGGCGAGACTATTCACACTGGAAGCGTTTGTACAGTGTCACAGCAGTGGCTCCAAAGCTACATATATAAGCGAGCAATTCTTTACAAAGACAACTTTACATTTGTTTTAGAAGCTGGTCATTTATAACATTGATAGTCTTGAAAGTAATGGGGAGATGTACAACATTCGCATATAAATGTTAAACAACAAAACAACCCATAAAATTTCTCTAATCTATAAGTTTCAGTCATACTTTCGATATGTTTACAAGACTGCAACTCTGCAGATAAAAACAAAACACACAAATAAACCACACACTCGGGTTTGATTTAGGTTGTGCTAGCCTATGTAGCTGTCTGTGTGTTACATAAAGTAAAAGAACTAAAAGAATATATAATATTGTCTGGCTAGTTTACATTAGTTTTTTTTTTTTTTTTTTTTTTTTCACCCAAAACTGAATAATTAAAAACATTTTTTTTTTTACCGGTAGCCTAAATCATCTATACATATTTTTGAGTCTTTATCTTCTTTTATTTGCCACTTTATGTGTGAAATCATATTTATTTTTTGTCCATGAAAAGTGTGCTTTCACTTTAATTGACCGTGAGCAGTGCAGCAAAAACAGATTCAACGTCGAAACCCCCGCTTCACTGCTGCTCACGCGCTGCTCATGCTCCCGGTGTGAATGCACTCATTGATTAACATGCACGCCGAAAAAAAAAAAATATATATATGTATACGGTGTGAAACAGCCATTAGATACACGCCATCTTCTACACACAAATCTCTGACCCATCGTCTTCTTCCTCGTCTAATTTCTGTCGATCTACATACGTCATCTGGTATTACTGAAAAGATTGACTATGAGCTACGTATAGGCTCATTTGATAGACATTCTTAGCACCCAATAAACGGCTCTGGGCATTGGTAAACCATGCCTCAAAAATGAGAATATGAACATGTGGTTCAATGAGACTTGGGTCTGACGTTAGCCAGGCTAGTAGGAGTTCTAAACATGAAAAATTTGTGGTTGCTCAAACAATAAATAAAGAGAGAATATGAAACATGAGCTATTAATGAAACGGGCCATTGTGAAATGAGAATCCGTGAACTCGGGAAACATGTCCATGACATAGTATAAAAATGTCACTCACCCACAGTGAGTTGTCCTGTCAGCTGGCCAAGGTTATTTCGTGCATTCACTGTCACATTGCGGTCTGACTGTAAGACCAGGGGACTGTCCTGAAACACACAGTGAAGAAAGAAACTGGTTATATGATCTGGCATATTTTTTTTTTTAAATTACACAAAATAAAGCAATACGACAGTAACAGAAACAAGGAAAAGGAAACTGATTTTGCAACATTGCATCTCATTCACAACATTGCATTTTGGTTTTTGTTAAGGATGTTGTACATGATTCTAGACCATTGACAGCTAAAATATGAAAAAGTAAAACAAATAAAACACTTTACAAACATGAAAATACGTAGTTATCATGTTATCATTGTTATCAATGTTATCATTTTCATGATGTAAAGCAAACTGAGAATTTTTATGTTTTAAATAAACATCTGAATAAGATTTGGGTCAGTTTTAACCCGAATTCCTATATAACATTTTCTAAAACAGATATGTTTCTAGAATGTTTTTTTTTTCTTCCTATGGATGAAAAATAATAAAACAAAATTTCATTATTTTTTTATGAATTTTTAATTAGTACTAACATGGTAAAATACAGTAACATTTAAAACTTTGACTCACATTTTTGAGTCAAAAAAGTGAGTGACTGATCAGATGGTTTGTCACTGATCAGATGGTTTTAGTTGGAAAAATATGAATTATGGCTGTTTTATAAGCTTGCATTCGACTGGGTAAAAACTGACTAGGGAATACAAAATGTGTACATACAGTTTTCTAAAACAATAGAAGGGTTAATTGCTTATAAGTAAAGCAGAATAAAAAGAAATAATGAAATTAAATGAAATGAAATAATGAAATGAAATGAGATGCTGGTTGCTGGTTTTCAATCATACTGAATTAACATCATTTGAATACAGAACCATGACAAAAAAGACTACACTGGAGCCTCACATTTGATCTGTACCTCTCCCTTTTCTCTGACTATTGTCACTCACTACTGCTTTATGTTATTTGTAAACACTTTCATTTGAAAGATGGCACAATAATTTTGATAACAGGCATATGTTGTACCAAGGGAACTGCTAAAATAATCAAAACAACATTCCTGCAATTTTATGAAAATATTTACGATGGTAAAACATCTTAACATCTTAACATCTATCATCTTAAGTACACAGGATAACAACCAAACGGTTATTGAGAGGAGTACCTAACTTAAAGGTACAATATGTGGGATTTTGCAGTAAAATATCCAAAAACCATTAGGCCAATGTTTTATATTTTGTTTAGTTTGTTACTTTCAATATCCCCAATGTTTCCCACTATTTGTAAATCGTGAGAAAAGTGCGATTTTAACCTAGAAAACGGGACGCGTGAGCAGAGGTGAGGAGTCGCCATTCAATTGCGTCATATCCGCGTTACCCTCGGTTTCCACTCGTACAGCCATAGTAACCATGGCGACAGACATGGACAACTGGTTTTTTCTTAGCAGGACGCTCATGCTGTTGTTGTTTTTTCAAACATTATGGACCATGGCAAACAGACTTTGACGCAAAAAGAGGACTAAAACGAAGATCAAAATCTTTCAAGAAGCCAAGAGCTCCATGTTCTGCTGTAACACATTAATAAATTTATGTCCAAATATCCCTTCTGTTCTGTTACAAAATATGGAACCTTGAGACTCAGACCTTTCTGACAATGTGTTTTGTCAAGACTAGACAAGGTTTTGATCATAAATTATGTAAGTATGGCAAAGTATGGGTAAGAATTACGGTGTCATTAAGTGACATCTCAACCATGAAGAGGCTGACATTAAAAAAATGATGGGATGTGTTAAAAAAGAAATAAATAAAAAAATACATTGAGTGTGGTTACTAGCGACATAAGGAGATGCAATTGAAAATTTTTCCATCACTTTTTTTCTTGGTGCAGATGAGTTGAGATAAGAGATGATTGACATTTACATCTGTATTTAATACTTGTGATCGGAAACCTGAAACCGATGTTATCATATTTGTAAATCGATGTGCAAGTAATTGTATGTGTTCAATGTGATGTGTGATCTGTCAAGAGACTCAGTGTGTGTGTGTGTGTGTGTGTGTGTACACATGAATGCACTCTGGCTGGCAGGGTTGTGTGTTTGTGTGTTCATGCATGCAGAGATGCATGCTGTGGATCACTGGATTCAATGTATTTTTGTTGTGTGTAACTTTGATCCTACTGACCTGCACGTCCCCTTCCATAACAAAGCCTCTGATGTCGTGCGAATCAAACACAAGCACTGTCGTACAGTAGTTCCCTGCATATACGATTCATCTTAACCCCGGTCAGAATCATGAGGGCATGAAATTCTGAAATCAACCCATCATATATAATGTCTGTTTATTATTTAGAGTGCTTTTGTGTGTTACCTTTATAGAGGGTTTTCACAGACGTCACATTCTGGGCGGTAACCCAGATGCGATATTTTTTTTCCCAGGATGGTAGGGGAAGACTCATCAATATTCATTAGGGAACTCATCCCTGATTGGTCTGATGAACTACCTCTAACCCCGCCCCTAAACCTACCCGTCACTGAGGACTGACGACCTACCCCTAACCCCGCCCCTAAACCTACCCGTCACTGGGGTTAAAGGATTAGTTCACTTTTGAAAAAACTTTTACTGATAATTTACTCACCCCCATGTCATCCAAGATGTCCATGTCTTTCTTTCCTCAGTCGAAAAGAAATTTAGGTTTTTGATGAAAACATTCCAGGATTTTTCTCCATATAATGGACTTCAATGGGAACCGGATGGTTCAAGGTCCAAAAGATATTGTTAATAACAGTTTCAGATGCAGCTTCAAATGTCTTTAAACGACACCAGACGATGAATAAGGGTCTTATCATGCGAAACGATCGGTTATTTCAAAACTTATTCCAAAAATGCAACTTTTCTAAGGACAAATGCTAGCCTTGCTATATTCTCTGAGGCGCGTTTGTAACGTCACATAATACGTAATTACGTTCAAAAGGTCACGGGCGACGTAGCCGGAAGTACAGAATCAAAATCGTCCGACATCGTTGTTTTTCCTTTTAATTCCTTTTTTTTTGTAAACGGTGTTTGAGTTAGTTTGCACGTTCAACCTATGCGCTCAACTTGTAAACACTGACTGTAATGACATAACGTAATTACAAAAAAATTGAACGTAATTACATAATACGTGACGTTGCAAACGCGCCTCACAGAATAGAGCAAGGCTAGCATTTGTCCTTAGTAAAGTTAAATTTTTGGAATAAGTTTTGAAATAACCGCTCGTTTCGCATGATAAGACCCTTATTCATCGTCTGATATCGTTTAAAGACATTTGAAGCTGCATCTGAAACAGTTATTAACTGTCTTTTGGACCTTGAACCATCCGGTTCCCATTGAAGTCCATTATATGGAGAAAAATCCTGGAATGTTTTCATCAAAAACCTAAATTTCTTTTCGACTGAGGAAAGAAAGACATGGACATCTTGGATGACATGGGGGTGAGTAAGTTATCAGCAAAAGTTTTTTTCAAAAGTGAACTAATCCTTTAAGACCAATCAGGGATGAGTTCCCTAATGAATATGAATGAGTCTTCCCCTACCATCCTGGGGATTCTTCTTCTTCTTCTTCTTCTTCTTGTAAGATTCCGGCAGTGTAGACGCTGCTGAGCGTATTACTGCCCTCCACAGGTCAAAGTTTGAACTAAATTCTTACATACAATCCTGTGTCATGCAAGAATTAAAGAACTGCTTTGGAGATCAGTTTATGCTCGTCACTGTGTCCAAACAAAAATAAAACAGAAAAACCCTTAACTCCATGTCCTGACAGTTTACTATCTTTCTACCCTACTTTCAGGAAAACATGTCCTACAGTCTCAAGACTCCCACATTCACAAAAGCCAGAAACATGCTTCCCTACAATGTGCAAAGGATAATTCAACCCACAGTGCCCCAATCTCAATCTGCACATTTTAACTGAATCCCTGCGGGACAAAATGTTACACGAGCATTTTTTCCTAACTTCCGATTGTATAAAAAAGTAACTTCCTTTTCCCACCCTCTCTGCCATTCTTTTATTAATCCCTCTTTAATTTTCTCTCTTAATTCCACTCTCCCTAATAATACACAGACTCTATAAGCTGATCTGAGGCTCGATCTCTTTTAAAGCATAAGAATCTAGGTTTGAGAATTCAGCCCTTAGATTAGCTTCAAAGCACAGCGCTCCCTTTTGACATTGATCGACCTGCCAGGCCACCAGATCAATATATTGACAAGTACAGTGAAGGTCCACAAGAGCAAGTTCCCCATTTCTTCGCTTTCTAATTTTCTTTCCCTTTTACGTGTGTATGTTTAGTGTGTGGCGTAAATGTCTTCACTTGTGTTCACATAAATGACAAACATGTGGCAACAGAATGGTTTTGATATTAAAGAAGCATCTTAATGTCTTATTCCCGACTAGTTTTATTATCAGGGTAAAAAAAAAAAAGAATTAAAATAAATTTAATTTATACATTTCATTTCTTTTTTATGACACTGTTGTATTCAAGTAATATCAATCAAAATCATAAAATAAGTATATTATTGAACAATACATCGAGAGATAAGTATGTAGGTTTCAAATATTCTTCAATTAAAGAAAACATTGAAAAAGCTCTGCAGTTTTGCGAAAACTCCCTTTATAATACAACAAAAACTAAACTGCATGAATAATAGCTTATTTACGTACATTGTCTACACTTACTGTACATATAATGAGAGGATTTAAATGATGTCAAAAAGGCACAGAAAGAAAAACAAAACAAGTTATGTAAACATACACAGTACTTATAATCACTTATGTCAGTGACAGAAGCCAACTGTTGTAATATAATGAGTAGTACTTGAACAATAGGAGTTTGGAACTGCAGTATCCGCAATGGCTGTCTCTAACTGTATAATTTGTTCCAGATGATGTCAATCTAATGGAGAAAAAACACAAGGCTATATTCTCTAATTACCTCGGAAACACCCACCTACCCTGCGCTATGTGTGTTATCACCAGCTGTGGCATGCATGTTCAAAAGCTGAGATGGACAGTTTTATTGTT